GGGGGGAGGGGAGGGTTGTTGATGTTTTGTTTTTTGTTTTTTTTTGGGGGGTGTTTTTGTGGGTTTTGGTTTGGTTTGGCTTTTTTGGGATGGGGTTTTCAAGCCAGGTCCTTCTTGGTCTACCTCTTGATTTTCAAGTCAGATTCACGGGTTGGTTTTTGTAGTTGGTTTTTGTTTTGTTTTGTTTTGTGTAGGGGCGTGTGGTTGTTGGGGGGTTGTTCTTCTTTGTTTTTTTGTTTTTGTTTTTGTTTTGGTTTGGTTTTTTGGGGTTTTTTCTTAATTATTTATAAACAAGAATGTTGAAAAATTGACAGAATACAAATACCCAGGTCAAACAATAAGTATGAAGGAGAGAGCAAAAACTGTAGTGAACAGAAGGATACATACGGCTTGGGGCTGCTATAGAAGATACAGAGAAATATTTACCGATCAAAATCTGTCGAGATCACTGAGAACACAAGTTTTCAATCAGTGCCTTCTTCCAGTAATTAGCTATGGATGTCAAACTTGGTTATTTGCCAGAAATATTATAAAGAAACTAAGGACAATACAAAGAGCTACGGAAAGGAAGATGCTGGGCATAAGATTAAACAAAGCACACAAAATAAGAAAGAAAACAGGAGTGACAAACACCACAAACTTTACACTCCAAAAAAAATAATAAATGGGCTTGCAACATCAGTAGAGTACACTGTAACGAGTGGACAAAAAGACGCACCGAATGGAGACTCAAAACAGGAAAACGATCAGGTGGAAGACCAGAAGCTGTAAGAATGTGACAAGATGACATCAAGGGAAGAAGTGCTTCCCAGCGTCAGAGAAAAATTCAAAATTTAGTCTATTTTGGCCGATTATCGACACCCTCATTGCAGAACTAACACGCAGAGGGACGGCATACTCTTCTATTGTTCGATACTACATTCTTCTTTTTTCCCCATTTAAAAACCCTGTCACTCTCTGACATTGAGGAAAAATGCCAGGCACTGTGTTAGATTAATTATGCAAACATAGAGTTGGAAGGTTTAGTGAAGGTATGTGACCATCTGAAGCATCTGTTAGATGAAACTTGGACAAACACAACCTTGACACGGAGAACAGCAGATGTAACGGAGTGTAGGCTGTTGTTGGATGCTACATCCTGTAGTGGGACGGGCAACGCCTAGAAAGAAAGAAGATATAAGCCTATAGAATAATATGTTTTTACATATAATTGTGTATGGTTATGTGGACAACATCATACTTCTTGTTTACCCAGAACATCAGAAGGGCACGTTCTACATACATTATAATGTCGCGCAGAGTGGATAGTTCACTGACTGACAGGTACACAATTTGGCTTTCCTACCTGTGTCAACATTATTTACACACGTGGGCCTCATTTATATTTACTCGCCGCTTACCGCCTTACGCTCGACAATTACAATAGATCTACATAAACACATCATGGTTTCTGTATCTCCCTAGAGAAATTGTGCTATTTCGAGAAAATTATGAGGTTAATATTTGCCATAAAGTCTTTACCTCTCTGTTTTCTTTTGCAATAGATTAATAATAGAGTAATCGTGTTCTAGAACTTGTTTGAATTTCGTTTTAAGGAAAAATGTTGTAGACTGAAGGAAAATGAGATAAAGACTCAACGATTAATCCTTTATTTTTAAAAGAAAAAAATGCTCAATTCTTGTCGAAGGGCAACAACTATAGTATAATCCGCGCAATCAAAGCCTCTAGTGCACTCGTCACTCTTAAAACAATAGACACATTGAAAATAAATACAACGATTTACACGGCCAAAGACTTATTTTATAGTGGTGGCAGGCAAATAATCATAATTGTGTCGATGACTTCCTCCAAGAATGAGAAGGCCTCCGTGTGAAAGGAATGGGAACTGGCAGCGAAATGTGCCATACAGTGTTGCTTCAAAACTCGTCCTCGGATACGATCTTGCAAAACCACTTCTGGCTAACACTACTTGGAAATAGAAGTGGGGCAATTGTCTCTGAAAAAAATAATCTTCTGCCGAGCCCTAACATGGCCCGTGTCGTCATACTTCTGATGACTGTTCCCGTGTGTGTGGCTGGTTTTGGCGCCAATGCGATCAACCTGGCCGTATTTTGGCGCCAAGGTTTCCGGAAAAGTGTCAACGTCTCTCTCTTTTCACTGGCAATCTCCGATATGCTAAATCTTATGTTATTGATCGTCTACTCTTTAGTTACATCAGACATGGAACTGGGCTATCTACGCGCACCGCCACAGGTTTGGTATACTTGTAAGTAAAACTGATATTTTTTCCCAACACCTTTTATACTGTCCTTTTTAAAAATTCATTTTTTGGGTGGATTTTTACTGAAATACGTTGGACAAAGGCACCAAAATAATGTGTAAATTTGCAGTTTCCAAGGAAACACAAACCTCGAAAGTCACCTAACTTTTGCCACAATTTTTGGGCGAATTTCATCGTTGATGCCGGCGACCACTACCTCCTTTATTTTAATGGCAAACTTCTATTCAAGCTAGATGCCTGGGGGGGGGGGGTTGTATTGTTCAGGTTGTTTTGTTGTTGGTTTGGTTGCTTTTTTGGGGGGGGGTGACTTTTTTGTACATGCATTTGCTCTTTTTATTTTTTAAATTTTAAAACATGGTTTTGTTATTCAAATGTTTTAAGAAATCAGCAAACGTTTTAAATAAATGTGAACTTCAAAATCGATGAAATAGAACTTTAGCTAAGTCTGTTAACCTGTACACAATTTTAAACATTTTTAGGAAAACAAAATCCAGCGTTTCCGCAGTAAAATTATGACGACACCCTGACCTCCTTTTGAAAACGAAAGTCTAGCATACACATAGCGAACACTCATCAGATAGCGAAAATATTCACGTGGGGAACAGATTTTCAGGTCTCCAACTTTATCCTCTACATATTAAAATATTTATTATTTGCATTTAACACACATATCTGCGTAGCAAAATTCTTACACTTCGAAAAGATTTCGGTCATGAAAAGCACCAACCGTTCTTGTTCAGTTCTTTCAATCCCTGCGTTAACAATGCTTAGATCTAATGTTTTTGGTTTTCTTCAGGTAGCTGGATCATCTACGGCCTCAGTCTAAACAGCTGCTGTACGGCTGTCTTCATCTCGGTGGAGCGCTGTTTGTGCATAACACAGCCGTTCAAGGTCAAAGAAATTATCACACCTGGTCGGTCTATCTTCATCATCGCCTCCATCTTTACTGTATCTATGGCAACCGTTTTTCCCTCATTGTCACTGGTTAGTTTCGTGACTCAGCGAGATCCTTGCACGAATGTGATTCCAAGATACATGATGTTTGTCCATTCCATCAGTGTAAGACCAGTGAGATTTATCGTGTCCAACATCCTCTTCACGAGCTTGCAGATTATCTCTTTCATCTGTCTACTTCTGTGTACCGGAACTCTGATTCTTTCTCTGAGAAACGAAACAAAATGGCGGAATAGGGTGACGTACAGACCTTGCGCGGTGACGCTGGCGAATACAGCCGAGCCGTCGCTCAGTCGTGAAAAGCGAGTGGTCAAGATGGTGGTCATCGTGGCCTCTGTATTCATAGTTTGCTTTGCGCCAGCTCAGGCCGCCCCTATCGCCAACCTGTTGATGCCAGAATTTTTTCACGGGCGTCGCTATGGTTACGCGTACGGCGTGTGTTGGGCGGTGTCCTACTTCCTGTACTCCGTCAACTCCAGCGTCAATCTCATCGTTTACTACAACATGAGTTCTAGGTACAGGGACAGTTTGGGCCGCCTCATTAGACAATACTTAAGCTGTTTACACACGAGGTGATGCTACCGGACTCGTAATCGTGAGATGGCGGGTTGAGGGGTTCGAGCCTTCGCTCGGTCTCGCGTTGTGTCCTTGGGAAAGGCACTTAACACGAAGTTCCCACTTGGCTCGGTCCTTTCGGAGGTGGACGTTAAACTAGGAGGTCCTGCCTCTTAAATAACCTAACAGTGTTGATAGGGGCGTTAAACCTATACCATTTCTCATTTTCACACACAGTCAATGAAATAAATGTAGTTTATACGTTACGAAACTTGAAGTACCTGGAAGTGTCATTTCTGACCCATCTCATTGGTTGTTGTTTATTTTTTGCTTTTTGTTCTTTTTTGTGGGTGTTTTTGTGGGTTTTGTTGTTGTTGTTGTTGCTGTTGTTGTTGTTGGTGGTGGTGGTGGTAGTGTTGTTGTTGTTGTTGTTTGTGCTTTTTGGGGGGGGGGGGAGGGTGCTTTCCGACTGATTCTGGCCATTCTGCGGTAACACCCCTTCTCAAACGCAACTATTTTGTTGTTGTTTTTCTTTCTTTGTTAAAGTCCAGGTCTCAGAGCCGTGTGGGAATATGGGTAAGATATAGCATTCCATTAAATTTTCTTTCTTAATTTTAAGGTAGAAATAATTGCCTGGATGTAAATAGTTTCTCCGATCCAATAACCCCAGCTAAAAAAAATAACACGGCTCTGTACAACGGCGACCAGCAAAGGCATGTCAAAGGCATGTTTGTGAATTGCTATGCACTGGTTTGTTTGTCGTTGTTTTGTTGTTGTTTTTTTGTGAGTGTTTAACGGCGCTTGCAACTCCATAAGTTCATATGAGCGCGCGGAACACACCTAATATTTTCAGTTGGTAGGAAATTTTGAATTTTGCCCGGGTGGCGGCCGAAGCCTACTCTAATCGATTTTAGACCGCCAAGGGATCTTCAACGTTAGCAACTTGCACACGGGTCCTCCGAGATTTTTCGCCCTTGTCCGAGAAGGCTAGGTGTAGATCTTTCCTACCAGAAGATCAGGGGAGTGGCTGAAAGACAGTAGTAAGAAGGAGCCAAGGAGTAGCAATAGAAAGGCAGCAGAAAGAATCAGGAGCCCAGAGGAGGGGGCAAAGGAGGTGAGTGAGTGGGAGACTGACTAAAGCAGGCGACAGAACATTACTAGAGACTAGAGAGAAGAAAATGATGTGAAACGAGACAATTTTAGAAAAGAAAATTTTTCGGTCGCTACTCGGATTCAAACCTGGGACCTTTGAATGAGAGGACAACACCTTAACCTCTAGGCCACGAGGGCCCCCTGTGCACTGGTGTATTTTTATGTATCTGGTGTTCTTTGTTGACAAGTACATTTCCGTGTTTCAAAATTATCTATTTATGTATGTATATCATATGCCACTGCACCGTGTAACCCAAATCTCGCCCCCCCCCCCCCCCCCCCCCCCAAAAAAAACATACCCTCGGAGATCAATAAAGTGTAATTTATTTTATGATATTATTTTAAAAGGCTAGAGTAATAAAGAAAATAGCACATAATGCCAGAGAGGGATTTGTAAAATCAAGCAGCTATGAAAATGTTAAAGTATTTTTAATGTACGTGTTTTTACGCCCCCATCGACACAATAGATAGTTTAGGAGGCAGCGTGGTGGAATCAGGCTCTCGTCAAAATAATCAAAGTGACGAAACTTGCATTTTTCCGCAGGTTTGTGAATTTTTATCCAATTTTTGTTTTTTGACTCAGCACCTTTCATGCCCATTAAGGAACTCATTTCTGTGTGAATTTTTCTGAAAAGAGTTGATTAAAGGCACAAAAATATAAATTTTCAGTTGCCACGGACTCTTAAGCTAAGGAAATAACTAATCTTTGGCGGCCATTTTCTCACTAATTTTACCTCTGAAAACAGGTGACCCCACCTCCTTCTTTCGCAAATATCTCGACTTGTATTCAAGATAAATGAATATTGTTTTCATCCAAATAAAGACAAGTGAACAAACTTTAAGATGATGCCAATAACTCTACATGCCCAAAAATTTACGAGAGCCTGATTCCACCACGCTGCCTCACATTTAGGAGGAAGGTTTCCAACCCTGCCCGTCAGGACCAACCCAGGTTGAGAGGGGTGTCATGGGTTAGCTGGAAATGGCGCTCATATGACCTTATGCAGTTGCGAGCGCCGTAAAACCTCTTCTAAAACAAACAAAAGTGTTGAATTATTCAATGTTCTGTAAATATTATTACGACATGTATTAACAATGTGCAGTTTCTGTCTTTCTTTTGATTTTCCAATCATGTAATAATTCTACACTGTACAGCACTAAGACTACTAAGAGACTTCAAGAGATTAGGCGCTTTGTAAATTCCCAATACATCATTATTATTGTTAGTATTATTTCTTTTTAAGAATTATGGGAGGGGGGGTACTTTTAGATTTATCCTTATTTCAACGTTTTATGGCACTGGCAACACAAATAGATCACATACGTGCCAAAGATTAGAGGTCTTACAAGAGAGTCACAAATGCAAAGAAAAGGAGGATAAGAGATAAGAATGCAAGATATTAAAAATTTATTGATAGGAAAGAAGACAGCAAACGATACCAGAGCACCCACAAGCCATCCGATGAAATTAACTATGTTTTAGTAAACGTTTTATAGCATTTGCAACACAATTAGGTCCTTTAAATGCCGAAGATTGGAATTTTTTTTTTTTTTTTTTTTTTTGGGGGGGGGGGGGGGGGGGTCGGTTCGGTAAGTTTTTTAAGACGCTCGCAATGGGCGGCGCGGGACACACAATACTTTTTCAGGTGGTGAGAAAATTTGGATTTTTCCCCCTGTGCCGGCGAAGCCCTCTCTTTATCGTTTTTAGGCCACACAAGGGTTTTTTAAGGACCGCCCCCCCCCCCCCCCCCCTCCGAGGTTTTTCGCCCTTGTCCGAGAAGGCTAGGTGTAGATCTTTCCAACCAGAAGATCAGGGGTGTGGCTAAAAGACAGCAGTAAGGAGCCAAGGAGGAGCAGTAGACAGGCTGCAGAAAGAGTCGGGAGCCTAGAGAAGGGGGGGGGAAGGAGGTGAGGGGGTGGGGTCAGAAAGTGGAGACGAAAGCAGACGACAGAACATTGCTAGAGAGCAAGAAAGGAGGTGAAAGGAGACAATTAAATAAGACTAGCATCTGCATATTGTGTCGCGGCTGCGATTTTCGGCAAATTTTGGCCCGCGAATCGCGGCCGCGATTTTTGCATTTAAAAAAAACAACCAAAAAAACGAAGAAAAAAATCGAAAAACAAACCCCGGGGAATAAAAGTCGAGAAACTAAAAATGAAAACATACAACAACACCAAAAATAAAGAAACCGAACCTCATTAACTTTACTTTAAGAAAGAACAACTAGAAAGTTTAGTTTCACTTTCACTTCACTTCCTCTCTTTCTCACTTGTTGACACCACGTTGATTTGTTATTTTCAATAAAATTTCATGAGAAGAATGAGTACATTACAAACTAGCCCTATAATTAATGTATTGCTGTTTCCCTTTAATTTGTCCCTCTTTTATTGTGTTTTAGTTTTCCTTGTTATTGTTCTGATGTGTTCTTTTTTCGGTTGTTGATGTTTCTATTTCTTTTTTTTTTTTTTTTTTTTTTTTTTTTTTTTTTAAATTTATTTTTTCATTTTTATTATTTTTTTAATTATTTTTTTTTGTTGGGGGGGGGGGGGGTAGTAAGTGTTTTACGACGCTCGCAACTACACAAGGTCATATGAGCGCGCATGACACGTTCAACTTTTTCAGTTGGTAGGAAATTTTGAATTTTACCTGGGTGGCGGCCGAAACCTACTGTTATCGATTTTAGACCACCAAGGGATCTATAACTTGAGCAACTTGCACACGGGACCTCCGTGAGTTTTCGCCCTTTTCCGAGAAGGTTAGGTGTAGATCTTTTCTACCAGAAGATCAGGGGTGTGGCTGAAAGACAGCAGTAAGAAAGAGCCAAGGAGTAGCAGTAGAAAGGCTGCAGAAAGAGTCAGGAGCCCAGAGAGGGGGCAAAGGAGGTGAGGGGGTGGGGACAAGAAAAGGAGACGAAAGCAGACGACAGAACATTGTTAGAGAGCAGGAAAGAAGGTGACAGGAGACAATTCTAGAGAAGAAAATTTTTTCGGATTCGAACCCGGGACCTTTAAATGAGAGGTGAACACCGTAACCGCTAGGCCACGAGAGCCCGTTTTTTTATGTTTATAGCGTATGTTTTTGTAGTTGTCTATGTGCTGTTCTAATTTTGATTTCATTCTATTTTGAAACCTTTATTTTTCACGTTTCGTTTTGCATCCTGTGTGGCTACAAATGATATACTGGTTGCATAAAACAGAACACAAGAAATTCTGGTGCTTTAGATGAAGTTACCTCTATCAACATATTGCTAGATACGTCGTCACAGAGAGTTGAAAGCTTGAAAATTAATGGCAACTTTTTGGGCAACTTTTGCCATTTTTGTGGCAACTTTTGAAGAAAAAAATGGCAACAAACGCAGATGCTAGAAAAGAGAGGAAAATTGTTCCGTCGCTACCCGGATTCGAACCTGGGACCTTTGAATTGGAGGCGAACACCTTATCCTCTAGGCCACGTTTATATTTGTTTTGGTAAGTGTTTTACGGCACTTGCCACACAATAAGGGCATATAAGAGCCGAAAATTAGAAGTGTTACGAGAGTGTAACAAACATAAATAAGGAGGAGAGATATAATGTTTACAGGGTAACATACACAAAATAGGAGGGGAGATAAGGACAACATATGTTTGATAAGAAAGAAGAGAGCAGACCACACCAGAACACTCACCAACCATCCAATGAAATCTTGTTTGTTTGTTAGTTTGAGTAGGGAAGCATGTCGACACAATAAAAGGTTATTTAGTGCTGGGAAAAAGTCAGACAAAAAGACAGAAACAACAGAGGGAACGGAAAGAAGTAGGATCTACCAGTGGCGTCCTGAAACCACCATCCAATGAAATTTACTATTACTCAAAAATGAAAACAAAACCAACTCAAGACGTGGCTTAAAGACAAGTTTAATCCATGTTCCTGACGGCATCATTCACAATGATAACGCAACAACATCAACTTTCTGTTGGAGAATTGGAACTTAAGTTCTCATAATAGATAAACAAACATATTATTATCATCCATCCTTTTATGAGTGCTACGTGATCTGTCAAAAAGTACACAGTACTCCTGAAAATGTTTCGACACACACATGCACACACACACACACACCCACATATACACACACAAAGGCACACACATCATAATGTACACACATACACACACATACGCACACCCTTATGTACACACACACACACACAAACACACACACACACACACACACAAAGGCACACACACCCTAATGCACACACATACACACACATACGCACACCCTTATGTACACACACACAAACACACACACACACACACACACACACACACACACACACACACACACACACACACGGCAAGAAAAAAATGATAAAGAAAAACAGAACAAAATATTGGGGATTTAACTCCTATTTCTCTGAGACTGACAATTAAATAGTCACCCGACATGGATGAGATTTTCAAACCTGTAACAAAAGTTCAGTCAAAGTTCATCCGAAGCATAGACTTGAAACGTAATTTCCACTATTGTGCACTCTGACATAATCCTGATTCACCGCGGAGCGCACCATTGTGACCATTTCACTCTCTCTGGAACCAAATGCGTGGTGTGCTGACAAAATGAGTTACTTCTCGCAATCCACAAATGGAAATTGGCCAAAAATCGACATTAGGGTCAAATTTGTAGATTTTCTATTGATGCCATATTCTTTAACTATAACCCATCTTTTATCATTTCATACTTATAAATTGTAAAAATTTCACCTGTAAGCGTGATGTGTCTATTTCCTTAAGGTTTGAATCCAAGAAGTAATTCATTTTGTCAGCTCGTTTCACAAATGAGGGGCATCGAGGAAATAGCTGTGCGTGAACTCAACTACAACAAGACTGGTGTTTTGCACTTCTTTTGCTTGCTCATGGTGCGCACCAGTGCAGCACATTTCTTCACAGAAAGTACAGAGAAGTGGCCATGACAGTGCCCGGTCTAGAATATCAAGTCTATGATCCGAGGTTGGTCTAAGGCTAAAATTTATCGGAATCAGTGTGCAATAACAAAAAAACTCAGAGAAACAGAAAGAATACCAAAAACACATCTTTGGTACCGTAACACCATATCTTAAGTACAACACAATAGGTCCATAAAACAAGATCTATACTGATAATTGACCGGTAAAAAGAGTACGAAATCCATAACACAACAACTTTGTCCGCAAAATAAGCAAAGTGGGCAAAATTTGCATATTTTGCGGGCCTATTTGTGAGGTGTGCCGACAAAACGAGTTACTTCTCGCAATCTACAAATAGTGATGTCAGCCAAAAGTAGACTCATCAAATTTGTAGATTTTTTCAACTAACGTCATTTTCTTCTTCAAGTTAAACATGTCTTTTATCTTTTCATAAATAATAAATCATACAGACCTAACCCTTGTATACATTTGACGTATCTATCTGCGTCCATAAAGGGCTAAAATCCGAGAAGTAACTCATTATGTCCGAACGCCTCACATTCAATGTGGGCAACACTGTAACTGGTAACTGTAATGCTATGATGCTGTAGAAGGCTGACGGTTCCATCACAGACACAGAGGGCAAAACGGAAACAGAGACACGGGAACTTTGATTAACTGTTTGTTAAATCACGACAGCAATCACACATTCCTTCAATCACAACGGCAATAACACATTCCTTCTATCACAACGGCAATCACACATTCCTTCAATCAAGACAGAAATCACATATTCCTTCAATCAAGACAGAAATCACACATTCCTTCAATCAAGACAGAAATCACATATTCCTTCAATCACAACGGCAATCACACATTCCTTCAATCAAGACAGAAATCGCATATCATTCAATAAAGACAGAAATCAAACAATTCAATAGTCAATTTCAGAGGAGCATAAAAACGAACACAAAGCATGTCATGAGAAAAAGGATCTCACAGACCGCCGTCAAGGCAATTAATATAAACAAAAGTGAAAAATCTCAAAAATCTTGTTGTCAGTTATAATACAACAAAACAGAACAACATTATTAACAAAGGTCCCACATAAATGTGTACAAAAACATCATAGTCCCATGTGAAAGAAATTTTCCCAAATGTCCCCGACACTATGTGAAAACATACATGCATATTCGTATCGCTCACCACTTCACTGAATTACCCTCTCTGACAGTCTCTCATTCTTCCCCTACACCAACACAAGAGGGTGAAAATGTCATATCTACATCAACAGGGTTAAGATCAGTAGTTCTTAAACCTTATCTATATATATATATATAAATACAAAAAGTATTCAAAAGAGGATGTCATTACATTCAGAAAGGTTCAATACTTTCTTTCAGTATCTTCCCAAATTTGATCAAACAAACAAAACCCCCCAAAAAATCCTCTGTGAAGTACAGCAGAAGGAAAATACCTCCTGTGGAACTTATCGTAAAACAGACTGGGACAGAATCGTCAGTTGAACCAAAAACCGCATCTCAGAATTCCAATCTAAAAGAAATGAAATATTTATTCTAGCTATGCAATGCTTTCACAGTTGTCGAAAAACACAAAATAGACTCAAATTCTTTCATCACATACAAAAATCAAAAGTTTCAAACCTCAGGAGCATCTATTATTCTATGCTCATGCTGAAAGACACAATAGTTCAATCAGGTAAATGAACACAAGGAAGCTATGCCTGGAAACAAGACCAAAAACGTATCTGTAACAAGAGAACAACGAGCTAGCCTGCTTGCAACATGAAGATCACAAGGTACCGTCAATGTCAGCTGCAAGCTTTTGATTTTTTAGTGAGAGTTTTACGGCATTAGTAACACAAACAGGTCACATAAGAGC